AAGCTCAGGGCCTACTTTAGGTGCAGCACGTTGTGTTTCAGTAACGAGAGAGAGGATGCAGATAATTCAACCTTGTGGGCCTGCTGGTGGCTGTAAGTAGGTATTGGCGTTGAACTGCTTTTCAAATGCAGTAGTGCTTCGTATGCTAAACTGTGAAGCACATGGATACCTTACGCCATGTAAGTAGTGCCATTCGTTTCATGCCTAAATTCACTGCAGCAGTAGTGCTTTTGGAACAGCAGCCTGGATTTTCATCCAGTCAATTAGTGCCTTGCTAATAAGCGAGGTAATATGCATGATTGATGATATTGCTTGAAACGTATGGTTTGCCAAATATTAGGCAAAAGGCAGGACATTTCGTTACAAACCGTTCAAGAATGTTTGTTCTAAACGACATCATCCATCAACAACGTGAGACAGAGCTAAAATACAGTCTGAAAACATCTGACAAGCCTTAACAACGGCTAACAGCACCAATTCCTGTTCTACTTCTTCAACATGCTTGTTAACAGCCAGATCCACCTGCCGCCAGCCCAAACATCGTCTGACAGCCCCATCACTGTTAGAGAATCTGTTAGGCTAACATTCCCTAACAGGCACGCCTGTTAGCCGCTGTTAGACCCCCTATGAGTTGGTAGGGTTGTTCGGATCTCCCAAGTTAAAGTCAAACATACACGTGGTTCCTCCAGCAGAAGCATGGATGACGTGGAAGAGTCCATGGGCAATGCAGTTCCCACAGCACAATTTGTGCTCAACGAGCTCATCGGCAGCCCACCCCATGGCCTTTTGCCAGTCGTGTTGGAGGATATTGCTGAAGAAGTCAGACAGCAGTCTCAAGAGAGTGAAAAGCGAAGCTTGCACCCATCAGAAGCGCGGGCACTATTGGACAAACTTATGGCCATCGAGGAATGGGAGCAATGGGAGTCTGGTTGCGTTGGTCAAAAGATGATGACACAGATGAAGTTTCATCAGACGAGGCGTAGCAAAGACGTCCTAGATAATAACGACCGGGTAGAGGAGGATTGATCAATTGGGGCTCATGGGAGTAGGAAATGAATGTTTGTGTTGTGCTGATAGTGTCGGAGAATTTATTCTGTTAAGTGTTTTGGTTGTGTTTTGGAGTTGCAGCATTAATAGGCCAGATAACATGTGGATTATTCATTTAGTAAAGCAGACTGAGGGATTGTGGGCTGAGAGCTGAGATTCCTTGTGTGATGTGTGATAGTAACGTATGAAGAATATGTGAAAATTGTAATCCCCTGAGCTTCTATGCATCCCATATATTTCTGTACACAAATGACACATGTAAACAACATCCTGGCAAGTATACAGCATAGCCTAAACAAGGTCAGGTATAGGCTGTCATGTAAACATGAAGGCCTATTATGTGATGCCTATAGCAGTCTTGTAATAGGCACTCGTGTACACACGCACCTGTATAGGCACTGTTGTTTACAACATCACATGTAGACACATCTGTATACCAGTCATGTTTACCACATAGCCTAAACAAGATCAGGTATAGGCTGTCATGTAAAGGGCATCACATATTACGTTATGCCTATAGCGGTCTTGTAATAGGCGCTCATGTACACATGCACCTGTATAGGCACTGTTGGTTACAACATCACGTGTAGACGCATGCATATACCTGGCAAGTATACACTACAACCTAAACAAAGTCAGGTATAGGCTGTCATGTAACGGGCATCACATATAACGTGATGTCTACAGCGGTCTTGTAATAGGCGGTCATGTACACACGCACTTGTATAGGCACTGTTGTTTACAACATTACGTGTAGACGCATGCATATACCTGGCAAGTATACACCACAGCCTAAACAAGGTCAGGTATAGGCTGTCATGTAAAGGGCATTGCATATTACGTGATGCCTATAGCGGTCTTGTAATAGGCGCTCATGTACACACGCACCTGTATAGGCACTGTTGTTTACAACATCACGTGTACACATATCTGTATAGCTTGGAAGTATACCGCATAGCATAAAGAAGGTCAGGTATTCTACATATATACAGGGTCCTCTATTAGGCAAACATGTACATATGTCCCTCTTAAGGTCTGGGCCTTTATTTCTCGTATAAGACGTGTACACCTAACTGGCCTATATACCTTTCACCTATTTTCCCGAATATCTCGCCTATACAATGCCCGAAAAAATACAGACGCGGCCGCCCCTTGGGAAAGTGTTACCATGGACTTTATTGTAGCTTTGCCCAAAACTGAGGGGGGATTCGATGCCGTTTTGGTCATGGTAGACCGACTCACGAAAATGGTGCACCTGGCACCTACGGTATCATCCTGCACAGCTGAGCAAACTGCACGTCTGTTCTTTGACAACATAGTGCGTTTGCATGGTGTCCCCAAGAACGTTGTGACCGACCGCGGATCGCAATTTGCCAGCAGATTTTGGGGCACCCTGGGTGATCTGTTAGGCATGCGTGTTAACCTGAGCACCGCCTATCACCCACAGACTGATGGACAGACAGAACGTACGAATCGCACTCTTGGCGATATGTTGCGCAATTATGCCGGACGTACGCCTTCTGTCTGGGACACATATCTAACTGCTGCTGAATTCGCGATTAATAATGCTGTAAATCGCGCGACTGGCAAAAGTCCGTTTTTCCTGAATTACGGATACAACCCTGCCTTGCCTGTTTGGCGGGAGTTGGACGTTAACTTGCCTGCAGCAAAGACGTTTGCCAAGTCCTTTGTGTCCCGACTGACTGACGCTAAATCTTGCCTTGAAGCTGCACAGCAACGTACGGCGGACTACTTTAACAAATCCCGACGTGCCATCACCTTCTCGCAGGGCCAGTTGGTGATGCTGAGCACTAAGAACCTGAGGTCCCTAGCGGATGGTTCTCGTAAGCTTTTACCTCGTTGGGTGGGACCATTTCCTGTCGTTCGCATGGTTGGGTCTACTGCAGTCGAGCTGCAACTACCACCTGACATGCGCATCCATCCCACATTCCATGTCTCTCTAGTCCGACCTTTCCGTACTACTGACTCTGCTGCTGCGCTTCAGCCAAAACCTGCTCCTACTGTCACGGAGCCAGGACCAGTTACTTGGCTTTCAGGCAAGCAGACATTTTACGCGGTTGAACGGATACTGGATTACCGTTCCCGAAAAGTAGGCAGAAACCGCCGCCGTAAGCGCACTGTGCACGAGTATCTTGTCAAATGGGCTGGGTACTCGGCTGAGCACAACAGTTGGGAACCAGAAGCTAACTTTACCCCTGACCTAAAACCTCTGCTGGAAGAAGCACGGCAACGAGCACGGGCAAGGTAAGATTTGCGGGTTAAAGGTAAGTGTTTAACTCCCGCTTTTTGGCCCGATTTTTGCTCTGCCAGTTTCTTGCCATGCATCGAGGACGCTGCATCTAGAGGGGGGATAGTTGTTGTATTCCGTTTCTTAAATCTGGGCCCAAACTGATACATTTTTCTGTCTAATTTTTCCTTTCTCGCTTGGCGCGGTTACTGGACAAGTTCGCTGGAACTAACTGAATTCCAACTGCCTATTTTGCCGCTTTTCTGTCAGATCTTTATGGCTCCGACCTCTGGGTCAGACGGCGAGCGGGACGCTGTCATGGATCCCTACAAGTAAACGCCGCCTCAGGCGGAAGTCCATACTTGCAGAAGTATGGGCGGGGGTCGTAGCACAGGCTACGACTGGGACGCTGGTCCCTGGCTCGCGGAGCCCCGTCATCGATTGGAAGCATGGATCAACGGTACGCCATTCCGGACTGGACCGCGCCTTTTCGGAATTGGCTGTACGATTCATGGGATGGCCGCATCCTCCGCTATTTAAGCGGGCGAAACTCTTCCAAATCGGTGTCTTCCGACGCCACCATCCAGTTGTGGTTTAGTAAGATACAACAGGAAGGTCCCACGTGTTTCAGGTGGTGTACAACAGTGGAGGCATTGAGGTGGTTAGTGTGAGCAAGTTGCACAATCGTGTAGCCCCCACACGCCCCTCTGCCAAGAAAGTGATGGCGGGCATCTCTGAGGCCAATGAGCATCTGTGCTCAGGCCCGTTCGAGCTTCACACAACCAAGGGGATCAGCCAGGCGTTGGCCCTTGTGACGCCTGGAGAGCACAGTCCAAGCAAAGCGAAGGCCTTGGAGGCCGCCGGATGTACAGGTATCATCAGGAAGGAGCCTGTGAGGGCTGAGGATGTTCACGTCCTAACGCAAGCCGTCACAGTTGGTTGTGTGGGATCAGTGTTTATCCCCTGGAAGTGGGATGAGGAGGCAATGCAGCAGTTGCAGGAGGGTGCCTGCACCGTTCGGTATATGCCCGATAAGGCAACCCTCTACCCCGCCCAGCCGCAGAGTTTTGCAAGGGCTCGGTCTGATGGAGTCGCCATGCCAATCATAGGTTTGGACACCTCCGAGGAGGTAATGAATGTGGTGCTGCCGGTGGCATGTCAGCAC